AGTCTCTCCTTGGCTATCCTGTCAGATTCCTTGTGAATTTGAATTCTCGATACTATTCCTTCCTTCTTTACTTTGATGAATCCATGACCTCATCAATGACAGAATTCCATCCAATAATGCGATTAATTGCTCCATCCCTATACCTGCATGATTCTTGTCATTGTTATCCCATAAATTCCCCCTTGGAGGATCCAACCAAAATGCTAGAGGTCCCCCTCTGGTTCTGTAAGTAGCTCTGAGATAAAAATGAAGCACCTGGGCTTCCTAATTTGTAATCCCTCACTCTAGACATATAACCAGCCCACCTCCTTTTCTAGTAACAGATCTATTAAAATGTCCTTTATGCCACATCTCACATGCAAGTCATGACTACCAATAAGTTGCAGCATACTTTCACCCACCATAAATTTTTCCATTTTCCTTTGGCTCAGGAGTATTTTGAGTATTCTGGGTTCATATTATTTCATGATTTAGATACATACATCATCACTAAAATAAAAATAGTGCCAAACAAAGATGGGCTTCTGAGCAAAGAGCATCATTGAAAGTGTTTAGTTTCCCATATATAATACAACCCACTCTCCTCTTATTTAGTTACAAGTCCTGCTCACTCACTGTCCATCTACAAATCTCATGTGTATATGTGTGTGTGCACACACACTTAATGATGTCGAATATTCTATCCCTACACATGCTCAGCTTCATCTTTCCTGGCACTCAGCTATCATGGCAGAAACAAAAACAATTGCCTAGGACTGAGTGCTGATTTTCATTTCGATGTTTTATAGGCTACTGTGATGAAAAAAATCCATCAATTTTTCTATTTATGAACTTCTCCATATTTATAGAGGCTGGTCCTTTGTCTCTGGGGCAACAGGTAAAGACTTATCAACTTGGTAAAACTAGCTGGAGATAGCTTTTGAGAACTGTGTATAAAAATAGTGAGGAAGAGGATGAAGAGGAAGAGCAAGAGGAGGACTTATGATGATGGCTAGCATTTTTACAGAGCTTTAAGGCTGCAAAACACTTTATAAATATTTTCTTCTTTTATCCTCACAACAACCCTGGGACACAGGTACTACTGTCCTCATTTTACAGATGAGGAAACTGATACAGGCAAAGATTAAGTGACTTACCCAGGGTCATACAGCTAGTATGAGAAGCTGGATTTGAACTCAGGTCTTCCTGACTCCAGGCCCATGGCTCTAGTCACTGTGCCACCTGGCTGCCACAATTAAATGTGAGAGGAAATCTTGAGATAATGGAGCAATGTCTCCCTCACCATAGGCATTTCAAAATCAAATGTATTGGTTTATGATGTGAACACATATATTTAAGGTCTTATTTAGTGTTTTGCAAACACAAGTTTCCAAACAAGAGACTAAGATAAAAAGTGTTCTGGACCCCTGAATTTTCTAACTGGAACTTTTGGCTTGCTTAAATGGTCATTTAGAATAGAAGATCAAGAAGCTCAAAAACAGAGAAAGAGAGAGGGAGGGAGAGGGGGAGGGGGAGAAGGAGAAGGAGGAGGAGAAAGAGGAGGAGGAGGAGAAAGAGGAGGAGGAGAAGGAGGAGGAGAAGGAGAAGGAGGAGGAGGAGAAGGAGAAGGAGGAGGAGGAGAAGGAGAAGGAGGAGGAGGAGGAGAAGGAGGAGGAGGAGAAGGAGAAGGAGGAGGAGAAGGAGGAGAAGGAGGAGGAGGAGAAGGAGAAGGAGGAGGAGGAGGAGGAGGAGAAGGAGGAGGAGGAGGAGGAGGAGAAGGAGGAGGAGGAGGAGGAGGAGGAGGAGGAGGAGGAGGAGAAGGAGAGGAGGAGGAGGAGGAGGAGGAGGAGGAGGAGAAGGAGGAGGAGGAGGAGGAGGAGAAGAAGAAGAAGAAGAAGAAGAAAGACGATGACTAAAGGGGGTTGGATAGTTCTGGTTTTCATTAGATAGCAACTATCCTGGGATAACATCATCTAATTCCTGGTAAAAGATAAGATGTCCAAGTGAGACTGGCTGAGCTTTCCACTCATTCACATCATGACATTAAGTGGAGGCTGAAAATGTTTACATTCTGGGCTTCCAAAGAAAGATTTCACAAAAGGCCCCACTTCCAACCCATTGCCCTAAAACTGCCTTTACCATGACACAACACCTCAATTCAAGGTGCCAGTAACATCTCTGCCTAGCCAAATTCCTGAAATCTAGAATCATGGTCCCTATCATTATAATAGATCAGGTTGGGTGGAAGGAGCTCTTCTATGTTGCTATTGATCTTTGCCACCTCTATCATTACTTTCAATGAAAATGATTTTTAAAAAAGAATAACCAAAGCATATTATTATTTGGGGAGAATGTAAGAGTATACTTGAAGGACTGACTTTAAAAAATTAAATAACCTCCAATGCTTTTTCCAAGACTGGGTCTTACACTATTTCTTTTTGAGGGTGGACAGAATAAATGAAACAGTAAAGTACAGGACATGATGATACTATGCCCTTTCTATCTTACACTGACTTTCAGATCTATGTCAGAAGATGATAGCCTCAAAGTTCCATTAGTTGAAAGAAATGTAAGTTTCTTGCAGGCAGAAACTATTTCATTTGTGTCAAAATAGCCTTATTGCCTAATGCAGTCCCTGACACATACCAGGGACTTAATAAATGTTTATTCATTCATCCATTAGGCAAAAGTGGGGGTTTTGTTGATAATATAAATAGAAATCATTCAATGAATCGAGAACTATTCTGCCCAGAAGCTCAAATCACTGATTAAATGTATTGGTTTATATAAAGCCAAATGGTTATTGGTTTTAAATCCCCCTTAAGAGGTAGAGGAGTAGTGGGAAGAGGGGATAATACAAGTCTCAATTTGCAGTTTCTTAAATTGTTTAGTCATTATGACCAAATATGTACCCTTCCTTTTCCCTTGGTAGGATTGCTAGTCAGTTGGATTTCGAGCAGAAAGCTGCTTCCTGCCAAGCAGCCAAGCATTTCAGAGATTTCACTTTAAACTTGTGACAAGCAAATCTCTAGGTACATTTTCCCAAAGAATTCTTTGTGTTGACCTGGATCTCCCTAATGTGGTGGGGGTGGGGGACCACTGGTAATTTAAGTACAAGTCATAGAATATCTGTTTTATGCTTAAGCTTTCTCTCATTTTGAAATGCCTGTGTTGCTAAAGACAAATCCTGAGCACTACATGCTCAGTTTTGTAATTTTTGCCTCCAAATAAGTTATTGGATAAGAAATCAAATGATCTCATTCTAACCAAAGAGTGAAATATTGGGGAGTAACCATGTAAACACTGAGGTGGAAATAACCACATTATTTATATTAATTCATCATTGAGAGACCACACAGAGAAAAAGCTTTTAGAGAGATGTAGAATTTGACACATACTAGATCCAGTCAAAGCAGTATAGACAGTGCAGATCTAAACAGTGAGAGAATACACTGCGCTCAGTTCTTTCCTTGCATCTCAAGTAACAATAATGTAGACACTTGGGAAAGTTCCTAAACTAAATTGAATCTCCCACACCACAGATCTCTGTATCTCCTTCCTCAATTTTTCTTTCCCCTCCACTATCCACTTCAGCTCTTTAACCTCTCTCTTTCTTAACTGAATGTTAAGAAATTGTCAAGATAGGAGATGAAAGATTCTCTGAAGAGACATAAATAGCTCTTACCACAATCGGGAAAGGTTCAGTCACAGAATCGCTATCAATCCACCAGTCACATATTCTGCCTGCCAGCAACTGGAATATCTGCCCTGCAGAGAGCTACATCTGCTGCAAAGCCATAATCTGGGGATTAGGAGCAAACTCTCTGAGCTCCAAGCTGTTTATCCAAGGGCAAGTCATCCAGGAGCTGAGGTATCACCAATGGAAGAGTCCAACCATCATCATTTGAAAAATAAAAATCCACCCCCAGGCAGAGTTTAGAGAGGGAAGTTCCAGGAAGAAGAGAAGAGAATGGAGAGATGGCAGGTGGTAGTAGTGATGGGAAGGGGGGATGGGAAAGTTACTAACATGACAGATGTATTGACTCAATTCAAACAGTAAATAAGAGATGCCCAATATAGAGGGAAAAGAACAATAGCAGAGAAGGAGCAGCCAAGGCTTCCCCAGCTTTAGTGGTGGCTCTCTGCCATCTTAGGTTTGTGTTTCAGGGCTGATCCTTTAGCATAACAGAAAGCATTAGTTGCTTTTACACTACCTGGAAGTAAAAAACAAATAAGTTTGTTTTTTTTCTCTAAGTTAAGGTACTAAGGATTGCTTTCCTCCCTTCATCAGTGTAATGCGATTAAAACAGGCTTCCCAAGGGGCAGCTAGGTGGAGCAGTGCATAGAGCTCTGGCCTTGGAGTCAGGAGGACCTGAATTCAAATCCAGCCTCAGACACAGACACTTACTAGCTGTGTGATCCTGGGCAAATCACTTAACCCCAATTGCCTCACCAAAAAAAAAAGCAAAAAACAGTCTTCCCTCCCAGTTCCCTTGAACATTGAAGATGTGAGCCCAATAAGGAGCTCTCAAAATAGCATAGTCATTTCTTCCCTCTGAGATAGAACATCCACCCACCCCCAAGGTCATTCACCTCATCATCATCATTCTTCTTTCCAGAGTAGGTTGCACAGTCCACATCATTATCAACATTGTATCCCCACCCCTGCCTAAAGACATGTCTTCCATCTCTTTTTTTAATCTGCACTCCCATCGGCTGCTATGCTCATACAAATAACTCAACAACAGCAAATAAAGATGCAGCTGGGTATACAAACACAACCACAGAACGACAAGCCAGTAGGCTGACCAGCACTCCCTCATTACTCTAGCACACAAGCAACAATGATGAATGCTACCCATTGGTTGACAGTCTTTTCTGAGAACAAACCAATTTGTTTTTGAGATAATTTCTAAGGAAGTCAATGAAGTTGAGTTGCACAGCGCTGGTATTATTCCATCATAAATTTAAAAACCTTCAATGGTTCCCTTTCCCTACTTAATGGAATCCAAACTCCTTACCTTTTTGTATATGCATCCAGGGCAATCAAATGCAAATTCCTGAGTGCCTAACTGCACCAGCCTCTGGAAACATCAACACTGCCAGGAAAAAACTGATCCCTTGTGAACATAAAGGGCAGAAATTCCAAGAAGAAATAGGAAACAGACAAAGGATGAGTGAAGACTCAGAGAACGTAGTATACCGGATGAGTTCGAGTTAGCACTTTGGGAGAAACTGCAGAGAAGCAAAAGAGATAAAAAGATGGAGAAAGTGCTGTTATCATGATGAGGAGGAAAGAGGGCTAAGCCACGGAGATGCCACCCAGGGTTAAGATAAGACACATTGTAGCTGCTGGATTCTGTTGAGAGGTATGATAGTAACACTTTGTCCATTGTCCTCACTTCTCCCTCTTTCCTCCTAGGGCAACGTTTCCATTACAAAATGTATCTCTGCTCTCTAAAGTTACAGTTATAATTTTGTTTATAACTATTTTTGAACTTGCCAACTACATAAAGTAATCAATCATTATTGTTTCTGATCTGTGAACTTTATTGTTGTGAAAGGGAAGTCAGATAAAGGAGGAGGAGGAGGCCTGTGTTAGCAATGTAAATACACAAAAGCTAAAGGGAAAAAAGTTTAGGCCCTCCATCTCAATTGTCAGGATCCTATCTCAGTTGGGGGCTCAGGAACTATAAGCAAGAGAATCTTATTGATCTTTAATATTTTTATAAACTCCCCAAACAGGGTAACAAATCATGTAAACCTAGGCCTCCTGATTCTCCACTGGTACAAAACAGTAAAAACAATGGCGTTCTGGGAAGCAGGCTTGGTTAAGTAGGAAAGCATCTCAGATGTGATTTTCCCCCATTCTTTTCTCCCAGCAGAGTCACCAACTCCATATGACCTGGGAGAAAGGGATTTGGGAAAAGATGATTCCAAGTACATGAAGGCAGAAGTCATCCAAAAGAGACTAACTAGTTTCCTGTTCACCTAAATACCTCTATCACCAGATATCCTGGGAGAGAAGGAGAGGGGAGCAGAGGAGAGGGAGGGAGGGGAGAGGGAGAGAGAGAGAGAGAGATGAAGATTTTGGGGAAATGTCCAAGTCAGCCCCAACCTTACTCCTTTACTTTTTTACCATCTCCTCCCATCCCCCTTTAGATCCCTTTTATGTGTTGTCTCTTCCTCCTCCCCCCATTAGAATGTAAACTTTTTAAGAGCAAGGGCTCCTTCTTTTTGATTTTATTTGCATTCCTGTGTTCCAAGTGCTTAATACAGTGTTTGCCACATCGTTGTTGTTCAGTAGTGTCCAACTCTTCATGACCCCATTTGGGGTTTTCTTGGAAGAAATACTGGAGCGGTTTGCCATTTCCTTCTCCAGTTTATTTTACAGATGAAGAAACTGAGGCTAACAGGGTTAAGTGACTTGCCCAGTGTCACACAGCTAGTAAGTGTCAGAGGTTGGATTTGAACTCAGGAAGATGAGTCTTCCTGACTCTAGGCCCAACACTCTTCACTGTGCCCTGTAGCTACCCCCTTGGCACGTAATAAGCACTTAAAAAATGCTCATTAACTGACTAACTATAGGTTGTTCCCCCTGAAAAATATTTAAGCTCCTTGAGGGAAGGGAATATTTCATTTTCATTTTTGTTTCTCTATCTCCTAGCACTTAGCACAGCTTCTGACACATAGTAGGCACATAAAAATGCTTATTAATTGATTGCTTGAGCATTCAATGATCTCTACAACCCATCTCCAATTGACTTTTTCAACCTTTTCCCAAAGCCAAGCTGGACTATTTCCCAAACATGTCCATGTTTTCCTTTGCATTTTTTCTCTAAAATTAAAATCCTCTACGTTCTTTCTATTGACATCCTTACCCATCATTTTAGGTCCAAAAGAAGTACCGCTTTCTCCATCAAACCTTTCCTGAATACCCCTAACTGGAAGTGATCTCTCCCTTATCCCACAGAATTTTATATTCCTCTTATATACCTATCATATTATAATCTATATTACATTTATCTTTGCATAGGTCTTGTCACACTCACTATATTGTAAATTTATTGATGGCTTGGACTATGTCTTGTTTATCTTTTTATCTCCCCAGCATCTTGCACAATGCATTTCACAAATTAGATATTTAATAAATATTTGTTAAATAAGTAAGTGAATGATTGGAAACAATGCTCTACGAGACAAAGCCACTACATGGAGCAGCTCTCAGATTTAAAAAAGGAATGTATTTTGGTTGCAGAATTCGCAATGATGAATCATAAAATATTCTCTTGTTTTAACCAAAGCTAACACCTGCTGTGGAGGCCAGATGGACCTATAGATTGCAAAGGTTAACTTGTCTCATAGCAACTGTGTTTGCAGAACTCCAAGTGATATCCAAGCAGCAATAAGGTTTTTCTAATGCACTACAAAAGATGCATCTGGAAAGAAATGGAACTGAGCTACAATAATTTTTTTTAATATACATTTATTTATTTGTAGTTTTCAACATTCATTTCCACAAGTTTTTGAGTTCCAAACTTTCACCCTGTCTCACCCTCCCCCTACCCCAAGACGGCATGCATTCTGAATATCCCTTCCCCTAGTCTGTCCTCTTTTCCTTCTCTCCCCCCGTCTCTTATCCCCTTCCCCTTCTACCTTCCTGTAGGGCAGGATAGACTTCTGTACCCCATTTCCTGTATTTCTTATTTCCCGATAGCATGTGAAAACTTTTTTTTAAACATACGTTTTTAAAACTTTAGGTTTCAAATTTTCTTTCTTCCTCCCTCCCCACCCACCCTCATTGAAAAGGCAAGCAACTCAATATAGGTTGTACATGTGCAGTTATGCAAAACACTTCCATAGTAGATATGTTGTGGAAAACTAACTCTATTTCCCTTAATCCTATCCTGCCCTCCCATTTATTCTATTCTTTCTTTTGACCCCGCTTCTCCTCAGAAGTATTTACTTCTGATTACACCCTTTTCCAATCTGCCCTCCTCTCTATCATCCCCCTGTTCTCTTGTCCCCTTCTCCCCCTGTTTTCTTGTAGGGTAAGACAATTTCCATACCCAATTGAATGTGTATGTTATTCCCTCCTTAAGCCAAATCCTATGAGAATAAGATTTACTCATTCCCTCTCACCTTCCCCTGCTTCCCCTCCACTGTAAGAGACTTTTCTTTTCTGTTTTTTTTTGTGAGATAATTTACCCCATTCTACCTCTCCCTTTCTTCTTCTCTGAGTAAATCTCCCTCATCCCTTAATTTTATTCTCCAGATATGACCCCTTAATCTTCAACTCACCCTGTGCCTTCTATCTATCTATCTATCTATCTATCTATCTATCTATCTATCTATACATACATACATATAATTTTTTTCCTCCAACTACCCTAATACTGACAAAGGTCTCATGAGTTATAAATATCATCTTTCCATGCAGGAATGTAAACAGTTCAATCTTAATAAGTCTCTTATGATTTCTCTTTCCTGTTTACCTCTTCATGTTCCACTTGAGTCCTGTATTTGAAAGTCAAATTTTCTATTCAGCTCTGGTCTTTTCATCAGGAATGCTTGAAAGTCCTCTATTTCACTGAATGACCATTTTTTCCCCTGAAGGATTATACTCAGTTTTGCTGGGTAGGTGATTCTTGGTTGTAATCCTATCTCCTTTGCCCTCCAGAATATTATATTCCATGCCCTGCGGTCCTTTAATGTAGAAGCTGCTAAATCTTGTGTTATCCTGATTGTGTTTCCACAGTACTTGAATTGTTTCCTTCTGGCAGCTTGTAATATTTTCTCCTTGACCTGGGAACTCTGGAATTTGGCTACAATATTCCTAGGAGTTTTCCTTTGGGGATCTCTTTCAGGAGGAGATCTGTGGATTCTTTCAATTTCTATTTTGCCCTCTGGTTCTACTATATCAGGGCAGTTTTCCTTGATAATTTCTTGAAAGATGATGTCTAGGCTCTTTTTTTGATCATGGCTTTCAGATAGTCCAATAATTTTTAAATTCTCTCTCCTGGATCTATTTTCCAGGTCAGTTGTTTTTCCAATGAGATATTTCACATTGTTTTCTAATTTTTCATTCTTTTGGATTTGTTTTACAGTGTCTTGATTTCTCATAAAGTCACTAGCTTCCAATTGCTCTATTCTAATTTTTAAGGAAGTATTTTCTTCAGTAGTCTTTTGGACTTCCTTTTCCATTTGGCCAATTTTTCTTTTTAGGGCATTTCTCCTCATTGGCTTTTTGGACCTCTTTTGCCATTTGGGTTAGGCTATTTTTTAAGGTGTTAATTTCTTCAGTATTTTTTTGGGTCTCCTTTAGCAAGCTGTTGACTTGTTTTTCATGATTTTCTTGCATCACTCTCATTTCTCTCCCAGTTTTTCCTCTACTTCCCTTACTTGCTTCTCAAAATCCCTTTTGAGCTCTTCCAAGGCCTGGGACTGATTCATATTTTTCTTGGAGGCTTTGGATGTAGGAGCTTTGACTTTGTTGTCTTCTTCTGGTTGTATATTTTGATCTTTTTCACCAAAGTAAGATAATATAGTCTGACTCTTTTTGTGCTGCTTGCTCATGATCCCAGCCAATTACTTGAGTTTTAAACTCTTTGTTAAGGTAAGAGTCTGCTTCCAATGTGGAGAATGTACTGTCCCAAGCTTCAGGGGTTTGTACAGCTGTTTTCAGAGATACTTGTAGGGACCTGTAAATTTTCAGTTCTTCCAAGGTGGTATGATAAGGGGTGAGGTGTTTACTCCTTTCCTGGCCTGTGACCACAAGTATTCCTTTCTGTCCTGTAACTGTGAGGAGGGGTTCCTGTCCACAGCCACTACAAGCTCCTCCACGCCAGCATTCCTCCTCACCCCAGCACCGCCACCCAGAACTGTGACCCAGATCCAAACACAGGCAAAGCAAGAGATTCCTGCCTCAGCACTGGCAAAGAGATCCCTGCAATCCCTCTCTGATCAGCCACTGTATTCCCCCTCAGTCTGTGGGCCGGAAGCTCGGGAAGCATCTGCCCCCCCAAGGACCACACTCTTGGGGAATGAATCTGAGACCCCGCCTTCCTTTCTCATCACCGACAGAAACAGACTCTTCCCACTGACCTTCTAAGTTGTCTTTGGCATTAGTGGGTTGAGGAGTCTGGAAACCTCCACAGCTGCCAGTGATTCACTCCTTTGGAGGCCTGCTCCAGGTTTGCTGTGGCCTGTGCTCCCACACCGCACTGCGCTGCGCT